CAGGAAAGATATTTTTTAATTTAAATATTTTCCGTAAGCTGTATTTCTTATCCAGTCTTGATATCCCATAATCGGATCGATTTATCATTACTACCAGATGCTAATGTATTTCCATCAGGAGAAAAAACAGACTAACATGTATGAACATCCAATTTTGCCTTTTATTATCCTGTTTTAATATCCATAAACAAATTTCTTAATAACTGCTAGATGCTTATGTAATTCCATCAGGAAAGAAATAGACTGAGTAGACATAACTAGTATGACCATCGAATTTTTTTTTATAATCTTGATTTTATATCCCATAAACGGATTGAACAATTCCCACTACCACGACGTTCACCACTACCAGATGCTAATGTAATACCATCAGGAGAAAAACAGATTGAATTGATTGAACTTGAATGACCTTTCAACTTATGTAATTCATTTACCCTTATGTTTTTCCATTTACAATTAAATAAGAAAGCTCCATTCAAATTCAATTCATTAATATCCACTTTACTAAATTCAGATCTACTTAAATTACATCTAACAAAATTTTCTCCTACTAAAGAAGTATTTTAGATCTTAATTTTTTTAAAATTTTTGTTTCTAAGGTCCACCTTCATCTAAACTAATATATGTAATGAGTTAGACCCACATTATATTCAAGTGTCATCTATGGATGTAAGGTGAACTAAAAATTACAGAAATTCTATAATCTATCTATCATCCTTTATGATATTAATTAGACTTAATGTAGATTCTAAGTCATGATCTTTTAACTTTTTAAGACATCTATATTTATTTCATCTTATTCCCAATAACAGACAATTTCTATTCTTAATCATCTTGGGTAATATTCTCTAATTGTTGTAAGATTTATGATTCTAACTGTCTTTGATTCCTAATATCTGTAAGAAATTCAATACAGTCTTATATTTTTCCTTTTGTAATATTTCCAATATAACACCAAATATTAGCTCATCTACATCTATTACTAAATAAAAAATGTCAGCTCGAGTTTACTTCTTGCATTTTCTATTTTATTTTTAATATTGAATTTCTATTACTCTAACTTTAAGTTATATACTGCAAAATCTATAAAAATATCTTGTGTGTTTCGTTAATTAGAAGTTTAGACTTTATGGAGATTTTGAATTGATGGTAGAAGATGTAGAATATTCTATAGAGAAATCGTTTTAACCTTTAATTTAGTATTTTTATTTATGGATTATTTGAGTTCCATGATTGATTAATTAATTCTTGTTGATCATCTCTGTTTAAGCATAATTAATGATTTCAGTTAACAATTTAAATTTGTCTGTTCATTCTCTAAAATACAATTAGATAGGAAACCATGAGTAAGAGAGTTGAAGTTAAAAAAGTAGATTTTCTCTAAGTAGTAATATAAATATGAATAGTTTTGTTCTAGTATTTTCTTGAATGGCATTCTTCTCTCCCTTTACCTCTAATAGCATATAGGTTTGGCTACTCCTTATTCCAGCCGAGGTTATAGAGAAGAGAGAATGTAGATGAAGAGGAGTAAGCTTAAGGTGAAGATGAAGGAGGAGAAATTCAAATTATCTGGGAATATAAAAATTCTAATTATTAAGAAGATTAAATTTCTAAATTAAACAATAATTTTATGGAATAATTATAACATTCAATCATTTATATAAAATTTAGTTTCTATTAATAAAGGATTACAAATTATTTATAAAGCTTTATTATTAAAGTTATTGGAAAATTATTGAATAATCAA